GACATCTGAGGATTATAGGGACGTGGTTTTCTTATGGCATCATCATGAAGGGTTCCTGGTAAATTCTTGTGCGATATTTTGTACTCTCTTCAAACAACCTTGGATAAGTATGGGTTTGAGTGATGGATCAATAGCTAGTGTTATTTCCTGTCATCTCGGTATAAAATACTTTTTGGACCAAAGCTACTCGAAAGCTATGATTCTCCCTCACATTTAATCGAGGTGCTGAGTTTGTGATTGTCTGGAGCCATATTGTTTGAGGAGTGCATCCGTCTCTCGGTTAACGGTACTATTGGCAAATTCATAGGGCGTTCTTATGGTTGGACCTCCAGGCACCGGTAAAACGCTCCTGGCCAAAGCCGTTGCTACGGAGTGCGGCACTACCTTCTTCAACGTCTCGAGCTCCAGCCTCACCAGCAAGTGGCGTGGTGAGTCAGAGAAATTAGTGCGCATTCTTTTCGACATGGCGCGTTTTTATGCTCCGAGTACCATCTTCATCGACGAAATCGACTCGCTTTGCTCGCGGCGTGGAGGTGAATCCGAACATGAGGCCTCTAGGCGTGTCAAATCTGAACTCCTCGTACAAATGGATGGTGAGTTTGCTTTTCTACTTATTAAAATTAAGTGGAAATTTTGGCTGCATTCGGGAAGAAAACGCTATAAACATCTTAGCTAGACGCACCCAATTCTCAGCACCTTTACTTTTTCTTCTATCACCAGGTGTTAACGGAGCTACTGGACAGGATGACGACCCAACCAAAACGGTCATGGTTCTTGCTGCGACTAACTTTCCTTGGGACATCGATGAAGCTCTAAGACGTCGACTGGAAAAACGGATTTACATACCTCTGCCAAGCGGTAAGTTCTTGGCATTCAGAGAAGTAAAAGCGATATTTATGCCTAAAATCTGGGATTTTCCTTTTGCTTTCATACCATCTTATGGTTTCCACGGGTGTTTTGTGTCTTCTTATCCAAGGTCTTGAAAGTGTCCAGCATCACGAAACTGCCGTGGTTCTGTTGATTTACAAAACAAAATCATAATTTTGCATGCTCTCTAACTGCTGCTTGGTGTGATTTTATTGTTTTTACAAGTGCTGGACTTCTACTTATCGCCTTAAACGCATGAGAGCCTCAGTGATGATGCTTGCCATGAAATCTTGGGGAGGGAGA